GGATTTTAAATTCCTCTCTTGTGGTATCAAAATTCCTTTATTAATCTATTGAACAAGCTGAGGCTTATTATTAGTTTGTTGTCTTTTTCTTTTCATTTTTTTCTTTTATCCTCTTCACCACTGATTGGCTCGTTAGCCGCTTGGGCGGTTGGTTATGTCTCTGTTATGCACTGTTGGCAAGTACTGGACTTGTACTGGCTCCTGAATGTATCTGAACCTGCTCCAGTGCTGGTCAAGTCTGGTCGTGAAAGAGCTCACACTAGGTGCCGTCACAACACTTTCTGGCAGATTGTTCCAAGAGTTTACACCGAAAAAGTTTGCCCTCACAGTTTTCTGGACTTCGGCTTCTTCAACCTTGAGCTGTGACCCCTTGTGGAGTGAGCGTCCGCCAGTTCCAGGTATGGACACTCGACTGAGTAGTGCCCTTTGAGATGTTTGTACACCTCAATTAGGTCCCGCCTTGTCCATCTGTATTATAAGCAGGTGCTCTAACACTCTGGATAGCTGAAGTGCAGGCACCAGTTTGGTGGCCCTTCTTTGACATTTTCAATCAACTGACAGTCCCTACCATATCTTGGGGACCAGATGGGGTAACTACTCCAGATGGGGAGGCAACTCACTAATAATGTTCAATAATAAAGTAAATATAACAATAAGAGGTTAAATAAAGTAAATATAACAATAAGAGGTTAAAAAGTCTTTTTCCTGAACAAATTCAACCTTTTTTCAGTTTATTTAGGCTTTTGACATTATTTGATTTTTAGGCTTTTGGCATATTAATTACTTACCTTCAATTAATTATTTTTTTTCAGTTTAATTAGGCTTTGGGTATACAGTACAGTATTATTTAATTTTTTTCATTCATTAAATTGGAGTTCTTGCTATGGTGATCAGCAGTGCCAGATTAATCATGAGGCACTGGCCTCAGGCCCCCCGACTCTAAGGAGCCTGCAAATCCAAACATTCTCGAAGTTGAAGCATATAAAACATGAACTTCGTTCAATGATGTCCAAGCAACTTCTCAATTTCTGTCTCTTATGAACATTGAATGTGTTATTTTGCAGAAGCTTAATATTGATGAAATCAGTGCTAAATTTTGGTATATTTTGTTCTTGCTATATATATATATACCTTGAGGGTTGGGGGCCCCAAGTTGATCTGTGCCTCAGGCCCCTATTAAGCTTAATCCGGCCCTGGTGATCAGGCTTTGTTGGTGGCCATTTTGTGTAAGACTTGTAAAATAAACTATTTTTATGATAATCAAACTTAGATTAATTATGTCATGATAATTGTCTATATTTAAGATATTAGATAATCAAATTATTTTTTATCTAATTAGATTTTTATTATAGTGAGTAAATAAACAAATAAATTTCATTTTGCAAAATAAATTCCAATAATATTAACTGAATATAATGTATTTAATTTTGTAAACTTTTTTTTTAATTTACTATATGCTCAATGTAATTAATTGTTTTTGTTTGTAGTTTTGAATTATTTACGGTGTTTGAAAATAATTAGAGTTTCTGAAACTAATTAAGGTGTTTGGAGGTCGTTCAAATATCTAGACGGTCCGTCCCTCGTGACGATCTTCAGGAGTGAAGTGCTTCCCCATCTGGAGTACTGTCACCCCATCTGGTCCCCGAGATATGCTAGGGACTGTCAGTTGGTTGAAAATGTTCAAAGGAGGGCCACCAAACTGGTGCCTGCACTTCGGCACCTCAGCTACCCTGAGAGATTGGAGCGCCTGAACTTGCCTAGCTTATACTACAGACGGGCAAGGGGACCTAGTTGAGGTGTATAAGCATCTCAGGGGGCACTACTCAGTTGAGTGTCCTTACTTGGAGCTGGCGGACGCTCGCCCCACAAGGGGTCACAGCTCAAGATTGAAGAAGCCAGAAAACCGTGAGGGCAAACTTTTTCGGAGTGAGGGTTGTAAACTCTTGGAACAATCTACCAGAGAGTGTTGTGACGGCACCGAGTGTGAGCTCTTTCAAGAGAAGACTTGACCAACACTGGAGCGGGTTCAGGTACATTCAGGAGCCGGTGCATGCCCAGTATTTGCCAACAGTGCGTGACAGAGACGTGACCGATCGCCCGGGCGGCTAGCGAGCCGATCTTTTGGTGAAGAATATAAATGAAAAGAGACGTGACCGACCGCCCAAGCGGCTAACAAGCCGATCAGTGGCGAAGAGGATAAAAGTAAAAGTAAAAGTAAATAATGTGTGAAGCTATACACTCCGCCATACAAATGTTGTGGATGCCAAGTTATTCAGGGAATTTAAGAACCAAACAGACAGCGAAGAGCTACAGAAAGATCTCTGTCAGCTTTAAGACTGGTCGAAGAAATGGCTGTGAAGATTCAATGTCACGACGAACAAGAGGATGCACCTAGGTCGTACCAACAGTAATGAGGCGTGTCACATATCCCACCAGGAAACAGAATGTGAAAATTGATTTTTGATTTTGCCGCTTGCAGCGGCTACTTTATTGTGCACCCCACACTCATCCTGTGAGCGGTAGCGCAAAAGGATTACAGAGTAGGGTTTACAAAGGGTCATAATAATTAACCCCGTTGTCAGGATATTATGGCACTGAAAGTTACACAGTATTTCATTTACATTATTTGTTTAGTTCTATACATAAAGGGTAACTTATTCACAAATGCGTGAGAACAGGCGTGTGAGGCAGTATGTCTGGCCTCACACTTTGTTATTCACATTTACGTGGGAGGTATTCAAGCACATTGCGTATTTGGTTCTGTACATGAGAATTGATATAGGACCCTGGGTGTGTGTGTCGACAATGAACTTAATTTATCGGGCCATTGTGAGAAGAAGGTGAATCAAGCAACAAAACTAGTAGGTCATTCAGATATCTAGACAGTCTGTCCCTGGTGGCTAAACGAACCTACCTAACAAAACCTAACCTTACTTAACTTAGCCTAACTTAACCTCACTTAGCCCAACTTAACCTAACCCAACCTTGCCTAAACTTTAATAAACAAACCACCCAGATCGTGTTAGTGTCTAATTATCAGGTGAAATAGCCTAAAAAGGTAATCCAATTAAACTAACAATAATAAGTGAATTACCCCATCAATAGCCAATACATTGTTTTGTAAAAAAAAAAACACAATATTGTATTCTCAACCCACACTAAACCTTACCTAACCTAACCTCATCCTTAATTAAATTCAATATAAAATAAATAAATTAGGCATATCTCACATAATCCTTGCCATACTAACCTCTAATAAGTGTATTACAGTATTAATATTATCTGGTTATTTATATCAATTAGGATAATTTTTATATCCACGGCTATTAAATCCACACCGTTTTTATTACAGGATTTAATTTTGATGTTACTTAAGGAAGGATTAGTTCAGTGATGCATACCTGTTGTCGAGTAAGTGGCTACAACGGGAACCAGTTTAGGCAGGCATATGATAGTGTTTTGTGTTGGGTTGTTGAAGAGGTTATTTTGGTGATGAAACTCCATAAAATATTAACCTAAACTAAACTTAACCTAACAAAATATTAACCTGATATAACACCAACCTAAGAAAATTAACCTGATACAATCTTCACCTAACGTACCATTAAATTAACCTTACCTAACATGATCTTATCTTAACAAAACCTTAACATTTAACCTACTATATCTTCAATTTATTCAAAACTTAATATGACCTTAACTTGACATTTACCTTCCTAACCTTGACCTCTCTTTGACCTAACTTTACCTGAAGTGGCCTTAATCTAGCAGAATATTGACCTAACAAACAGAAAATAGCATCAACCCAACATAACATTAACGTAGTGAATCTTAACATAACTTTAACCTGACTGACATGACCTTAACCAAACTTAACCAATTATACGGTTACTTTATGGTTAAATATTATAATGGCCATGTCTGGGATAACATTAAACACATCACCTGAATATTTGGCACCCCAGCTTATTTATCCCTAAGAGTAGCCACCCCAGCTTATTTATCCCTAAAATTATCCACCCCAGCTTATTTATCCCTAAGATTATCCACCCCAGCTTATTTATCCCTAAGAGTAGCCACCCCAGCTTATTTATCCCTAAGAGTAGCCACCCCAGCTTATTTATCCCTAAGAGTAGCCACCCCAGCTTATTTATCCCTAAGAGTAGCCACCCCAGCTTATTTATCCCTAAGTATGTATATATATATTTGTGTATGTATGTTGCTACATTTTTGCAACGTTTTTATTGAACGTTTTTCAGAGTAAAAAAAACCTTTCTGTAAACGTTGTAATTACGTTATGTTTGCCGGGTTACACAGACACGTGCTCATAGGTCGGTACTGTACTCTTACGTTGCCTGAAAAATATGCAATGTGATTTTGTCTTTTATTAAGCTGCATTTTTTATATATTGTTCTCTATTATTATTTGGGGGTTAAATGGTTTAATTTTCTCAACAAATATTCCGGTACCAATCTCATTTTCGACCGGTATGTGCAGTAATGCTAAAGTTGGTACAGACCATAACTTGTTCTTGCAGGGATTTAAATCTATTTTCATCAAATGTCTTTATTTTTTGTTTTAAGAAAGTTTTAGTTGTATCATTGCATTAAAAAGTCGTGCGTTCCATTAAGTGCGAGGCTATGAAGGCTTTGTACGTCGCCGCCAGTAATCAAAGAGTAGATTAACGTTTCACGGATACCCCTGTGAGCTTTGTGGTATTCTCTTATTAGTATTTCACTTCCCAGTTAAAGTAGTTAAAGAGATTTTTCCCCAATGACTGACGCTGCAGATTTTCTCAAAGATCCGCCCCTATCATAATTCCTAAAATATTATCAAACAAAGATTCCAGTACTCTATAACATATCAAATTCTGTATGTATGAAAATATAAGATATGGGATAATATTATTAGATCCTCTAGTTGTTGCTCTTTTGTTTATACCGGGTTAAAGAGTGAGAAGTTTGTGTCGTCTATAGCGGTGGTCCGAGGAGTCACCAGTAGGGGGTTGCCTGGGGGGTTAGTGGACTGTGCTCCGTGTGATCTGCTCTGGTAACTATGGAATATACTTGAAAAATCACGCGTTATTGGAAGAGCAATGGGGTGAGTGTCTCTGTAAAGTATGTTGGTAACTTAGGTTTGTGATCTAGTGGTGAGGATAAATGAAAATGATGATATTTAGAGAAGATATCGATTTAGAACGGGGCAGTTGAGCCCAGCTGTGGTGGATGGGTCGGCCCCTCCTCCTTCCCTCTGCTTTTTCCCACACATAATTATGTCGTTTTGGGGGAGATATTCGTTGTAGATCTTTAATATATTGAGAAATTCCGTAAAATAAGCCTAGAGGATGGTATATCAGTGATGGTGATGAAGCAAGAGGAGTGTAGGACTAGTGTATTGGGAACAGGAAGAGGTAGACTTCCCGTGATGGTGCGGGGAGTGGAAGTTCTCCCTCTACCACTGCTAGTTACCAGGTATCAGGCTGAAGTATGGCCTGTTTTAATGAAGGCTCTTACCTCTTGAACTAGCAGACTGCCTACAGTTTAGATAAAGGGTTTAATGTTTTATGTTGATCTTACTATTGGAGTAGTTCCTTGACCAATGAAGCTATTCCTCGATTCATTCATAAAACATTACTATTTCCCAAATCGGTATCCACTTTGTCATCATATTTTGTTTTTATTTAAACCTTTTCCAGTTCCAATTATTGAACATAATATATACCTTACCATGCCTTCATTACGGTATTTTTATTTAATATTTTTACATTTATAAACTTGACATTTTTTGCTCTAGTGTCTCAAAGATTCCCTCCCAGACATGTTAATATACATTAGAAATGATTTTTAAACCATATTAATGGAGTTAACAGAATTATTGATCACTATACAAGGTATCTTCAATAAATACAGTTCAAATGCATTTATATAAGGATGAGATGCATATTAAAGATGATTATAATACCTGGAAGGATTAATCTTCACCTTGGTGTGGACCCCCAAAGATGTCCCCACTGCCCACACCCTGAACCCTCTACATTGGAAATACTGTACAGGAAAGTTCTGGGAAAAAACCTAATTTGGGGGGAATTTTATGGTTACATTAGTTTTTTTTATCAGTTTATTTTATTTTTTGTGTGTGTAAAGTTTAAGGACTGGCTACAGTTACCAGCCATCTAAGGGAAAATATCTAAAGAGGGAAACTATTTCTTACCTCAAGAATAAAGCAAATTTGGGTGGAGAAATAGTACATTTTCTATTCATGTTTTCCCCCTAGTTTTTCTTTCATCAAGAAATATGCAGCTGATACTGGTATGCTTGCCACTACAATCTTTGTTTACCAGAGCATCAGGATGCAGCGTCGTTGTTGAAACATTTCCTAGGCATTAATATGGAAATAACGCTGTTGTTTCATACTCACTAATAACAAAGAACAGCAGCAGCAACAACTTCCAAAAATATTTTATAGCTGATAAATTTCTTCCTTCGTATGTTAATAATGATAATAATATCCCAAAAAGGACAACTAAGACATTGATAATAATAATACACCTGTAGTTGGTACGGAGGATTTGCAGTTTTCCAATCCAGTACTGTATAATTATACGTACTGTATGTACAGTACATGTAATCGTTTGACGATTCACTGTATACTAAAAAACAAAACAACATACCGGTACCTACAGTACCTAACCTTTGATGGAAGTTTATTATTACATTATTATTAAATTAGGTTACTAAAAGACTTTTATTAGTTTCATTTGGACAAATGTCAGACAAAACCTCACATGGGGGAAAGTTTATTAATAGGTTTTTGGTGCATATTGTGTTTGTTACTGTATTTTCATATGCAAAAGGGTGTCTTCAAAGCAGTCGTGTTGCAGCAATATTTGTCATTTTTATTTATGGGAAAACTTAGGCACAAAAACCTGAATAATAAAAAAATTATTCATTGAGCTTATTAGCTTTGGCCTTGAGGTAAGATAAATGTTTTCTTCTGCAGAGATTTTGATAGGTAGCTGGATAACCTGGGAAATTGTCCTTAAATAGTATATTAAAGTAATATTTAAAGACCGTAGCATGGGTTATCCAGTCGTCTAATGGAAAATCTATAAATTAAACTTTATTTCTTGCCTCAAGTCTAAGTAGATGGGATGAAATACAAGCACTTTTCATATTCGAGTTTTTGTCCCTATTTGTATAGTAAATACCTGCACAGGTAAGCACAGATGCTGCTGTCACCTGTCCACTTTGATGCCATGTTGTATCTGATGAGTGACAAACACAAAACACAATGTGCACCGACCTATAGAACTTTTCCTGCATAACCAAAGTTATTACTAAACTTTCATCCTAGATTAGGTATATACAGTATGTGTATAGGTTGTTGTGTTAGTTCATGTGTTGAGTACCCTGTACAGTACTGTACTCTATATCCAAATTGATCATTTACATAATACTGTATTAAGAAAATTGCAAAGCCTGTTTACTATATTAATAATTGTGATACCGGTAGTCCTTTTTGGGGGGTATTATTGTAAGAAAGAAACATCATCATTATTACTGTTTTAAGGCACTTGTTTGGATTAACCATGGTCACCTGATGACATGGTATATTAATTGCCTTTAGACAAATTTAAATCAAATTTTACAGCTGATTACTGATACACATTCTATTGCCAACCCATTTTTGGAGTGGGCACTGGGCATTAGCACCCTCTTAGCTGGCAAGACAGTGTCACATTTCCCTGAGGGAAAAAATGTATTTCATATCAGTTTGGGGTATACAGTAGAGGATTGGGATTTAGGAAAGGGATTGCTGTACATTAAATATTGTGTCAGGATAAATCAATTCATCATAGCCAACAAGTACAGTATAGAGGGTTGATTTTCCAGGGCCTAAAACTTTTGTACAGTACCTGGTGTTGTTGGCCCCTGTTCATCAAATATAATTACCTGACTTGATTGTGACCTTATCTAATTCCCTTTGACTGTGACCATTACTTATGGGTGCATCTTGGCCATTCTGTATGTGAGTGTTATTGTGCATAATACAGGTGTCATTCTATGCCAACATTCCCATGCTTCTTCCTGAGTGTAAATGGCTTTTCTTCTTGGCTGGACTAATTAGCTCCACAAGTGCCACAGTATGTAACAGTTTGGAAAATGACTACCTGGTAGTTGCTGAAAAATAATTCAAATTTTTCAATTGTTGTACAGTATAGAATATAAATACCTGTACTGTAGATCTAGTTTGTTGATATTCTGTATCTTTGTTCTTAATATCTGGCAAATATGTTGTAACATTTATCTAAATATTAAGACCAGAAACACACTACTTTTTTCTGCTTGAGTACCAGTATCGGTATGTTTTGGAATAAGTACAGTATATACTGTACCACACTTTGTACTTTCATGTACAGTACCTGTACATAGTTTTGAGGGATAGTATTTTGTACTTCTTCTTAAGTACATTTTTTGATTGAGTAGTGCTGGTACTGTACTTACAGTAATTTTTTTTTCAGTATTGATTATTTTTACTGAATGTGATCCTATTATAAATTATACAGTAGCAATGAATTCAGGGAATTAGTACTGTATCTGCTTTCAGATGAGCAGGTTGTGTTCAGACGACATACAGGTTACAGGGTATACAGTACAGCCAAGTTGGGAGCAGCTGTTGGGTAGTGGCTTTACACAAACTACTAAACATTATTCTGTGTTGTTAGCAGTTGGAAGGCTCATAGTTTAGATATGGCTGTCCCATGCCTTGATGATGAATGGAATTTAATATTCAAAATTGAATTTGCCTGGAATGAGAGCTTCAGCTTCCAGACCTCAGGTTAGGTTGGGAATATGAATGCTTTTGTGCTTAGACTTGGGGGTATTTCCCCATGTTAAGTTAGGGTTATAGCTAATGGGTTTTTTAGGACAAGCCCACAGCACTTGGCTCGGTTTGGATCTTGGTACATCCTATTTTTTAAGATATCGAGTTACTTGTTACTGAGACTGGAGGTGAGTTAATAGATACAGTAACCTTCAACTGTTGCATTTGGGTGAACTTTCTGGTTGAGTGTCACAGTCTGGGGGATCTAAGGTGGCAGCATTGGGGATGAATTGGTAACAACCACCTAACCAATCTTGGAGCAGATATAAGATTATATATTAAGGCTGGCCTTTTCCAGTGTGTATAACAGTAAAAAAAATATAGTTATTTAAGTCTAGTTGTATTTATATACGTATACCCTGGTATATTGTTATCTATAGCTGTTACAGCCTCACATGACTTAAACTGTTACAATGCCAGATATACTATAGGTATTGTATTGTATATTGGAATTGGTCAGTCACTTGTATGACTGGGTGTAATAAAATTATGAACCAGATCCTTCTAATTTTCCACAAGAAAAAATGGGAGACGGGAGTAGGGTCAAGTTGGGCTTCAGGAACGGGGGCTTCCAGTATGTGGTAGATTGACTGGTACCTGACTCATTTTAAGAAATAATGTAACATAATACTAAAAGTTAAAATTTTTATTAAGGTTAAGATGGAAAGTGTTTAGTAACATGGTTGAGTTAAAGGAGTACAGTACTGTACCTGTATTTAGTTCTTGACATTCGAGTGGATAAGTGAGGGAATTCCCAATGTTGTACAGTAAGAGGATTACCTCCATTAAGTGATGAGGTGCAGCTTGAAGAGGGTCCTTGTTAGATGTCTATTAAACACAAGGATATATTCTGTCATGTTCCTTCTCAGGAAAGTTTTAGGACTGTCTGAGATATCAGGTTAGGTAAAACCTATGACTACAGTAGTAGTTCAAGATACATCTTTGTCAGATGAAATTGGCTTTGAGAATTTTTATTAAGCTGTTGGGGATACAATTAAAGATGAAAAGTTTTCACTGATGTATTTGGCCAATCTTTTAAGTGCGACTAGAAAAATACTTAGACAAATTCTACATGTGGCTATTCTATCAGGGAAATGAGTCACCACAGTGAACGAATTATTTAAGCAGCGGTATTTAATAAATTTGGCGTACAGTAGTATGTACAGTAATATGCTAGTTAGAAATAACTTAAATATAGTAAAAGATAGGCCTACAGTATTATGATTTCTTCAAAGGGTTTCATTATTTTTTTGATTTTGTATCAATTTTGTTTCTGTTTGGCTTATTTATTTTGACGGCTAAAAACAAAGATTTGTAGATTGTACTATATGATAATTTAATGGCTGCTATTTTCTTTTTTCAGAGGTGGTTCACCACAGCCCGGCTCTACCTTGGGAAAGTCGTGTTTATTTCTCAACGACATCGGCTCTCCAGTGGGGGACTTGTGATCCGTCGGGAACCTCAGCCGTCACCCCCAAGAGCAGTGTTACTTGATGTGCCTTCATGATCAATCCAATTTGCTCATAAATGAAAAGATTAAATTATTTTGTGCAGTTTTGTGTATGGGGAGGTCAGCCTAGCAAAAGATTAATAAAAATTGGGACAGAGATGTCTGTCAACATGATCGATATCTAGATGGTGCTTAGAGAGGAAAAATGTGAGTCACAATAATGACAGAGATTGATCGATTTTTATAAGAAAGCACCTAACCCTATACGGCTGCCCCCCTTTTTTTTTAACTCAAATCTCGATGGCGCCTTAAGTGAAATTTCGTTCTTCCGTATTTGAGTGTGTAAAGGTAAGACAGTAATAGTTAAGAAGAGACATCCCCCTGCCAATGATGGGTGACGGACAGGAAGACACAGGAGGAGGAGGAGGAGGAGACGGGGGTACTGTCGCCATTCAAGATACGAGCCAGGCAATAACACGGCTTCAGGATCTGGAGCGGCTCTTCCTCTCTGGGCCTGCTGAAACAAGTGGCCAGAGTTACTCTGTTGAAACCCTTTTGGATGTGCTCTTGGTTCTGTTTGATGAGTGCACAAACTCATCATTGAGACGTGAGAAGACCGTGTCTGACTTCATTGAATATGGTAAGTGTAATCATATTTTGTCACCTGTACAGTAGTGTATTTGCTAAGATTATTTCATTACCCGTGCATGTTCATTGTAAACAGTTGTAGTTTTGTGTGCATGGTGGACTAGATTTATAGCTATACTGTACTTTGTGTAGAGAAGAGACTGAATAGCTACTGTAGCAAGTACAGTACATTGGTTTGGAATAAGAGTAGTGGATGAGTGGAACAAGTTACCAAACATCATCATTAACTCGAATACACTGGATTGCTTCAAACATGGGTTGGATGGATATATGAGCGATAGGTGTTGGGTGTAAATGGGACCGCCCAGTATGGGCCAATAGGCCCGCTGCAGTTTCTTCCATTCTTATGTAATGGTGTTGGGTACCGTAACTGGTACAGTATTATATTTTGATTACTTGAAGTGTTTAAAAGTTACATTAAGAATGGTAAATACAGTACAGTAGATTATGTTTACAAGAAAAGTTCGTGTTTAATACTGTACTTTACATGCATTTTTGGAAGAATTGTAAAGCCATTATGTACTGAATATACAATAAAAAAAAGTTAACTGCTACTATTAGCAACTTCGAATTTTGTTCATCTTTATTTGGGAATTTTTGACAAGAACAGTATGTAAATACAGTACCTGTATAAAGAAAGTGAATGGAGGAAGTGAGGTTCTACATACAGCAATTACAATAGGTGGAAATTTTAGGTTTTTAATATGATGAACAAACATCAATATATTTGGATGTACGTAAAGAAGACAATTATATGTTATTACAGTACTGTGCAGTACTATTAAATAAAGGTTATAGAGTACTCTACAGGTGTGAATATTCACACCTGCACGGTTTCCCTAAAGTGCTCTACCCTACTGTCAGTTTATTAGAATATTGTCTAAATAGTACTGTAACATCTCGGCCAACTGTGACCTTGAACATGAGTCCCCCGCTAATTGTAACATCAAAACTGAGTGTAAAATGTTATTTTAATTCCAACCATGTTGACCCTCTATAATAGCCAACTGTTGACCATGTCTCGTTACCTGAACGCTCTTAAAGTCACAACCACTCGACTCAATTGTACCTGTGACTTAGATTTTGTTAGATCAGCTTTACAGTAGTTAGCCCCAAACACTGACACCCCTGACTACCCAACATAAACTGCAGGGGTGTGCATACAGCATATCAAGTTAAGCAAAACTACCGGTTCATCCAAGATCTAAGAATAACCACTACAATAATTCAGCCATCCCATACACAGTACAGTACTGTACTTATACAGTACAACAATCCACTTCATGAACTGTATTGTCTAAGTTACTTATGGTGTTTAGTGATGCCTTTTTGTCATTGTCCAGATCTTTCACTGTTGTCTCCGGTGTTTTCTTCACATCACTTATGTAGTGTTATATGATAATAGATCTGTGTACAGTCCTGTACAGTATCTGTAAATTGTGCAGTAATAAATTGTCATGATGTCTTAAACATTGTGATCTGAGATCAGTGGTCTTGTGTCCCCAATTCTCAACAATAAACTGGGTTAAACTACAGCTCTTCCCCGACTTACGACCTACTCGACTTAGGACCACCCGCACTTATGACCTGCCTCATTCGTACCAAAATTTTGTCAAATTACGTATTTTCGAGTCCCAACGTCGGTACACAGACAAAATTTTCGTTTGTAATTCACTTTAAAATGGTTGGCAAGCTTAAAAGTGAGAGTTTGTGGTGCTGAGAAGAAAAAGAGACATCCATTTTAGATTTTCTATGTATTATTTTAGCATTTTCGGCTTACGGCCATTTCGACTTACGACCTGGATTTGGGTCCCTAACCCCGTCGTTAGTCGGGGAGGAGCTGTATTTGTGTTATTATCACAGTAGTAGTAGTATGGTATTAGTACAGTAGTCATGAGTTAGTGTTATGACTGTAGCTACCTTGCCTCAAAGAGGTTGGTGAGATACAGTATTTGAATGACCCTGTGTGTTTCTGCACCATCGCCAATAATGTATAGTACAGTAATGAAGTACTGTACAGTATATCTCAACCAAATCTGACCAAACTTTTTTGGGGAGCCAAAAACATCAAGGTGCGGTGATCAGAAAATACATTTTTCACAATAACTCTGGGAATGAATCATTGTAGAAGGGTGGGACTAATTGCGGTAGATTCGCCGAGGAAATACACATCAAATGTCATTGATGTTTTCCCTGTGATATCAATTTTATCCAGAAAATTCCATCAAAGTTGATGATGCTTTCACAAAAAAGACACTGATTGTATCACCTATGGGGACCCCTTGGGGTGCCGCGAAAATTTTGTGCCGTGATAAGTCAAGATCAAATTAAAAGGACATAAAACTGTGCTTACTGTACCTGATTGCCTTCTTATTTTGGTTGTTAGTACTGCACAGAATTACGAAACTATCTCTTGTCTCTCTCTTATGTGTGTGTGAGGGATAATAATAAAATAATAATGATAACGGTTTATTGAACGAGCATGGCAGCCGGAAGGCTGAAAATATAGTTACATAATTGGGGAATGGGTCTCTTGATTGACAAATGATATACAAGTAACATAAGTGATACAAATACTGTATGATATATAGTGAGTTTGGTAAGGAGTTGGGATATAGCAGGAAGGGGGGGGGGACAACTCAGCCAATCTGGTGCGCTTACAGGACACGTCTTGTCTCACTAAGGGCTGACTGTGTGTGCTATTCTTTACCTCCCACACCAATATCTTAACCCGTTACTGCAATATTATATCTACCTTATGTCACACACTTCATTCCCCGCCTTTTGCACTCCCTCTTTCAATTCCATCTTAGACAATTTTATTCTATTTTCTCGGGGATGTGAAGAGCAGGAACGACCTTGGGCCGTCATGAACATATCTTGTAGGGAGGGAAGAAAGCAAATGGACAAACGAGTGGGGAGAAGAGCAGGTAGTGCATTAAATGGGACGTGGGAAATGATTGATAATGAGAAGATGAAATAGAAAGGTTGGGAGAAGATGGTGAAAAGGAGCAGGAGATGAGGGAATGGGGTGTCAGTGAGGGGCCAGTCGTGTCAGGGAGCCACCAGGGCGCCAAATGTGTCGCAGGGGAGTGGGTTTGTGCCCCTGGTGAAACGTACCGTACCGAGTTATGCAGCTCCACTACTGTAAACATAGTATGTGTTGGTGTACGAGTGCTGTGTCTTGGTGTATCGGGGTTTACGTTCACGAGTCCAAACTTGCATTCTGCTGTGTTTTGTTGGCGAAGAATTCTGGAGCTCCCGCGTTTTTAGTCCCTCTGGTGAACGCTTTTTGTTTTCCTTGGACTTTGGAGCTTCTGTGTTGTATCCTGTTTTTGGTTCATATCCTTTGATGGTACAGTATTTTTATGTGTTACGGTATATCAGTTACTGTGGGTTTTTTTGTGAGGGTTAGCGTAGGTTAGGAGTTTGTTTTCAATTTAACGATGGAGATTTTTTAGTACACAGGAATAGTAACCTCGTAAACGAAAATAAAATTGTCCTGTTACTTGCTGAGCACAAAGGAAGGAAGATAAGATGAAATAGATATTCATTGATTTGTCATACAAGTTTACATTGATTCAGTATGTATGTTAATGTAGGCAATATAGGACTGCGGGTATACAATATACACACCTCTAAGTTCATGTGATGTATGAAAAGGTAGGTACGGTAGGTGACCCCTCTCTTGTTGTATCCCTGAGAGAAAGGAACAGATACATGAGGTCCAGTTGTGGCTTTGTGGTGCCCTGGGATGGTATGTGGGGGTAGAGGTAGGGAGGGGCTATGCGGGGGTAGGGTGGAGTGGGCAGGCCTGGTGTGGCAGATCAATTACTTCCCTGAGTCAATATCCACTGAATGACAGCGTGTGGTCCAGGCCTGCCCCCCCTCCCCAACCTGTTCCGTCCCTTTCCATCCTCAGCCTACTTCACCCCGTCCCTCCGCCCCTCTCTATCCTCTGCCCTTCTTCCCAACCTCTCACATCCTTTCTTAGCCCCTTCCCTAGCGCCCCTCCCCACTCGCTCGTGCCTCCCCGTATCCCTGGCCAGCCCCCCTCCTCTGATACCGGCCTGCCACACCTCCGCCAGTCCTACTCCCCATCCTCATTATACAGTAACTTACCCAGCAGTACCACTTCATACTATGAGCACCACTCAAATATTAAAATTACAGGTGGTCCAAAATGAAGCCCTAAGATTCGTCACAGGTGAGAGGTACCCCTTCACCAGAACCACAGCCGAGATACATAGAGACCTGAGAATAAAACCCATCAACCAGCAGCTGCACACCCTGGCCAGCAGAATCTGGCAAAAGATGGAACGATCAGAGCAAGAACTCCTTCAAAGACTCCCACCAGATAATGACAACAACCATACATGGTTCCCAAAAAGTTAACAAATCTCAAAAGGTCCATTACCACCCCCGATCTACTTGGTCAGGCAATAGACAACCTCCCTAGATCAGCATCCGCCAGTAGGGTCGGCGGAATATGAAATAAGGCCCTCAAAACACCCATATATGGGACAGGGTAGGATGTCTAGTGCCTGTACCGACAGACAATAACTAACCCATGACACAATCCTAACACACTATTAGCTTAACTAGGCGGTCAGCCCTCCCTCTCTTACCTCCTCCTAAATTTTTTCAATTTCCGAACTATAACTTCCTTCCCCCACCTCTAATCTTCTTTCACACCTCTTTTCTCTACAAAAAAAAAACTACCCAACCCGACCCCGCCCCCTCCCCTCCTCTGCCCCCGCCCCCTCCCCACCTTCCTCTACTCCCGCCCCCTCCCCTACCCTCCTCTACCCCCCGGCCACAGTTCTAAATTAGCGGTACACAGGGTGAATCTAGATCCTCATGAAACGACCTGAATAATTTCTTGTGGATGTTTCATGAACCTATTACAGTAGTAGTATGATTAGACCTCGTGATATAATTATTTACTTGGTTTTCCTTTTGGTTTTATGATACTACTTCCGGTACACCTTT